TCTTCCCAAAATCAACTACTGAAGATCGGTCCTACTCATCTCCAGTGTCCCAACTCTCTATCTCAGCTAAATCTTTTGAATCTAGATCCTCATCTGATTCCAGATAGTGATCACCCTAATCAGCTTTAACCTCTGTGCCAGTGACGTGCTCAAAAGTCCATCTGGACGGTCTTCCAAGAGAGTTATGGTCGTGGTAAGTAAATAAATACGCAAGAGCTGTCAAGGTTCTAACAGTACCTATGTACATATACACACACACAAAGTCTAGTGTATTCTACTCCTAGGGAAGTCAAAAGGAATACTACAAAAGTAATCTATATCTATCATGACAAAAATCTTAGGTTCATCTTGTACTAGTACAGCAAATTTAAAATAACATATTCTCTGATATTCATTAAATACATAATTTAACCTAAAATATACAGAACTATCTATTAGTCTAATTCTTCCCTGAGGCTTCGTCATCCCAATTCCCTGAAATTATTAGTAAGGATAGGCACATATTCTATCCTTTTTCAAACGTTATATCATGCAATCATAATTTATATTATAATTACAATATATCCATATTTACATTAATTTCACATAGCAAACATATTCAAACACACATCATTCACAATTTATTATCTATTATTCATTTTCTCATTTCAATACGCACTCCCAATGCACTATGATCATAGATATTGATGCCTCCAGCATTTCTTGAGGTCTTACTCAATTAGGTAAATAGTCGTTGGTTAGCCCATGCACACGGATACAACACGTACAATAATTAGGCCCCTTAGCAAAGACATAGTCAAGAGTTTAGTCAGAAAACGAGTGTGAGGTCATGTGACGCATTTGCTCTCAGAAAGAGTGTGTACACATACGCGAATGTCGCTGACCACCCTACGTTTCCCCCAGATTTTCATCGTCTTCGGACTCTATACCTCTAGTGTATCTCTGTAACTATTCACACTAGATCAAATCCATATTTGACTCTTAGGTCTTTCTCAAATTATTCTCTTCCTGACTCATCAGATCGTGCTTAGTAAAGCACTTCCAGACTAAGTCCATTACACACATACATTCATTGATACAATTTCAACCGTAAATCATTTTATATCAACATCTTTACCTCATTTTACTCAAATATATTTCATAGAATCACACAAAATCACTCAGCAAGTTCCATAATATTCCATATCAAGTATTCATCATACAATGTAAGTAAGCATATATCAGTCATTTGGCCTAAACAATTAATCAGTCTAAATAATCAAACAAACATATTTTCATTCATACTTCACATAACAAATATCTCAACCATCTATTTTCATATCATATTCATATAGCCGTACATTAAGAGCACAAAATAAATATAATATAACAATAATATAGAGCTTTTTTTACCTCAAAAATAAGTTTATAGGGAGTTGTGGAAAAGGATCAAAGTTCACGGATAGAATTTTTCTTGAGTATCAAGAGATATCTATAAGAATAAAAACATGAAAAACGATCGAAGAAACTCAAGTTTAATTCGAAGAAACTTACTTGAAGTCGCTAAACTTCAATGTCTAAGTTCAACTTTGAAGAGAAAACAGAGTTTCTGAGGTTTTAATCTAGGTAAAAGGAGGAAAGAGTTCAGAGAAAGTTTGAGAGAAGGACGTGAGTTTGAAATAGAATGAATTCTCATACGAAAATCTCTTAAATACCCCTTAGTCTCGCGTTTTCTCGCTTAAGCAAGGAACATCTTGCTTGAGCGATGGGCATCTCGCCTGTGCGAGATATGCAGACAATGGTCTCGCACCATCTTTTCTGATATGCTCGCTTGAGCGAGCTCCATCTCGCCTGAGCGAGCTCCATCTTGCCTGAGCGAGATTTTGCCCAGAGAGCATGATATTGCTCCTGTGAGTCCTTGCCTGAGCAACCCATCTCGCTCAAGCGAGAACGCACGCGTTGGAGGGGTATTTAAGGGGCCTCAGTGCCCAAAAACTTCATTTTCACACCAAACAACTTTTCTCTCTCATTTTCTCTCCTATTACCCTTAGAGATAACCTTCTCAAAGCCAAATTCTTTCTCGATCAAAGCAAGATCTTCTATCTCATTGAAATCTAAGTGAGTTCTCAAAACTCAATTTTTAGTTTTTACCTTGTTTCTTCTTTCTTTTTCTTAAGGAACTTAAATCGGGTTATTTTGAGTAAATCTGAACTGCTCCAGCCGTATTCCACACCCAAAACAGTCGATTTATCTACCGAACTCACTAAGAGTACTATTTTGGAACTCATTCCAGGTAAGGGGAGTTTACCTGATTTGATCCAGTTCATTTAAAAGAAATCGTGATGTCTATATAAGTTATTTCATTCTAGCTGAGAATATTGGGCTGTATGAGTTAATTTTGGACTAAAAATCCAGATTCTATATAGTTAAATAGATTCCTTTATTGTCTTATGATTGTTAGAAAACTGTGCGGGAATACAATATGCTAGAATACGGTGATATATTAGCCGAGAGTGTAAATATGTGCTGGAATATTTAATTTATATTTTGAGCTGCTTAGTTTTATTGAGTATTATGTACTGAAGTACTTGGTATTGCTATTAGAATATGTATATAGCTGAGTTGTTGAAGCTGGGTGAAATAAAAATATATTTATTGTTGTATTGCTGAAACTGAAAATGAATATTTTGCTGTGCTGTAATATGCTGATTTAGTTGTGTTGCATCCTATTCATTTTCATCATTTAGAGCTGATTAGGATGCTGAGTTGTGCTGTGTCTGAATTCAGATACTGGGATGGGTCGCTCCCAGATCGAAAAACAGTTCCTCTGGATTACTTAGGCTGTGAAATCATATGAAAATTGAATCGTCTCATTTGCATTAGATGGGCTAGGAATGGGATGGACATGCTGCATTGGTTATTGATGTTGTGTAATGCTGTGTGCTGACTGTTATGAGCTGTTTAAATAATTTTATCTACATTCATTTATATCTCATTAATATGGTTGTCAATTACATAAGCTCACCCTTGCATTTTGTTGTATTGATATGTGTGTGTTGTAATGATCGTACGATAGTACATGAGCAGAAAGTACAGGGAATGTATCTACTTCTCAAGCTGGAAGGTCTGGCTGAGAGACTCTGGAGTTAGCATTTTGGAAAAGCATGTAGTTAATCATTTTGTTAGTTTAAATTTAAGTATTAGGTCTAGACTATTGAATTACTGATTTGTTAATGAATGTAATTTATACATAAATACTTGTAGTTTGAATCCCTCATTGAATCACTATGTTGTAAATATATAAATTTTATGTAAATTTTGGTGTTATATGAACATATCTAAGAAGTTTTTTTTTTTTTTTTTTTTTTGTTAATATGAATGTTGAAGTTCAAATTTCTATAAATTTATACTTTTAAACTCATGTATGTAATATTCAATAAATGAATAAGTTAGTAAGAAGAGTAATGAAGAATGTAATTGATTTTTTTTAAAAGGGGTCATGACAATTAACAACAGTTTTAAGCCATATATATATAATTATACTTTAAAAAAATTGCATATAATTACATGAAATATATTATTTTAAAAATTATTGATGATTAACATAAATTTAAAATTGTGACTACAATAAAAGGCTTTTAGAAAATATAGCTAATTTTAGTGAGTTTAAAAATCGTCGGTTTATTAGTGGGTTTATTAACCCGGAGGAGAGTGGAGAGGTTAAAGTAGAGGCAATTAACGAGGGTTATTTAATCGGAAGTAATTGCTTTACCATTTTTCTAACCACAGTTAAATTTAAGTAATTACCAAAAGTTCATAAACCACATGTAGTTAATGAGGATTACAAAACTGCAAACAAATACAACAATGCACTTCTCTAAAACCGCAGGCAAATGTTTGCCATGCTTCGATTCTCTATGATATGACTAATCACAAGTGGTTACAAATTTTTTAATAGAAGTGTGAAATAAAATTGCAAAATGTAACCCTTTTTAAAAATGAACCAATAATACAAACCTAGCTCAAAAAAGCAAGTCAAAAAGTTAATGGACTGGCCTACTATCGTTTTAAAAATAAACAAAAATAGAAAAGTTGTCTAATAGTCTAGTCTACCTTAAAAAATAAAAAATATATAAAATTAATCAGTTTAGACTGATATTAACTAGTAAGTATATATTTTTTTGGCTGAACTAATAAGTATATTTTAATCTTTGGAAGAAAAAAATGCCTAATAAACTAACCATCCTAACTAACTATTAGCGTAAGATTTGGTGGGTTAAGACGAAATGAATTCAGTAATTCAACTGGTCAATCAAATCCATTATACTAGCCCTATCTGTAGCTTGATTAGAATTTAATCACAATATCAAACCAAAAAACTCAATAGCACTTGAACTATGACTCTTTGCAAAATGTTAAATTCGTTTGTAGTATTGTATTTGTTCATCTATAAAAAAAAAAAGTCCATTTAAATGAAAAAAAATTTATAAATTAATGTACATTACTCATACTAATTAGACAGAATTTTCAACTTTATTTAAATCTACAACTTAGTAAAAAATAATAAAACTCATGTATAAATTTTTTTAAGTAATTTTAATAAAATCTTACAATTAAATTTCACGTAATTAATTTACGTCATCTTTAAATGTCAAATTTTTTTAACAAATTACTAAAATTAAACTTTAATTTTACTTAAAACTAATATTAAAATATTTAAGAAATTATGCCTAGATTTTGCTTAAAAAATTATTATACTTAGAATCTTGATCGTGCATTTTTAACATGTTAATAGAAAATTGGAACATTTCAGGTGGAAGAGATAACACTCGCATGGCTGGTTCAGAAGTGAAATTTGCAAGTGGAAGAACTCAGTTGTTGATAATGGGTAGTGATTAACTTCCTCAGCATTTTTTTATCCTTCTAAGCTGAAAAAAAGTGGGAGAATAGATTACTTTATGTGAGATTTCCACGAGACTTATCACGTAGAAAGAGAGGGACAGAAAGACTCTAACCATAACCGCAAAAAATTTATAAGAATTTTAGCTCTTATGTGAAAATCTCACATGGAAAAATCTATTCCCATGTAATGCGACAAATAAAAATTAAAATTAAAATAAATCATCTACGAAAAAGATTCAAACCAATCAATCAATAAATACTCAGGGAGTTCATGAAAACTAGAATATATCAATATTCCTCTGATAGCGTTAACATCTGTATACACACAAGGGCTATGAACTCTGATGAGATTTCTGAAAGGGCACCACTCATCATGCTTGAACATCAGTTATATCAGTTGCCTTAACAAATCTCCCCCTCACCCTTTTTCTAGTATCAGCCCTGGCCTTCCTTGATTCATAGCGAATGTGTTTATCATACCTGCGCAAAGTTTGATGCCGTGATTTTAAAATAAATATGAAAAATGTGATCTTTCTCAAAATAAAATAAAGGGCATGATCTCAAACTAACTGGCTGCATGTACAGCATAGGTTTCTGTATATATTTTTTTGAATTTGCTGCATTTGTGTAAATATTAAAACGACATATACCTTCGAGTTTTCTTCTTCTCCTTATAGCGTAACATGGCATTCCCTCTATTCTTAGCCAATTCTTCCAAGCTAATCTTGGCTTTTAAGGAGCTAACATTTTCACTCCCACCCACAAGATGCTCCATGTTCGTGACATTGTTGGTGCCACTATACGTTATGGATTCAATTAAATTGGACTCGGATGAAAACCCATCTCTTGCTTTGTTGTTGCTTTCTTCTTTCTTCTTCGCATGACTTGATGATGACTGATCCGATTGATTCTGCAATTTTGGTAAAGAAATATAATTTATTATTCACTGGCTCTACAGATACAACCAATCATGAAATAGAAATATATGGCAAGTAATGAATGAAATAAAGGCCAAATCATATGGGAACTTAATTGCAATCATTGCACAACAGTTCATAACACAAAAAAATTGTAGAAAACTGCACATGTGAGAAACATGGATAGTGCTTATCATATACTCTACGCATCATCTCACACTTGAGAATGAAAAGCATAATGAAATCTCTGGCTTTTAAATGATATGAATGCAGCTGTTAAAGCTTAACTACAGACAATTAAAGTTGGAAGACTATCTATGCATCTTTAGCAATTAAAACCTTCCGTCCTCTATTGTCCCTCCCCATGTGAACTCTGTACACTAAATCAAAGCTATGAAGGCCCACAGTTTTGTCAGTACGTTTGGATTTCAAAGCGACTAACCCACTTCTACTGCAACTTTCTTTTTCAACATTGATTTTTTTTAAAAAAGAAATCCACAGGTTTATTATAATGAAGGTGTGTCAGAACCTCACGTATTTTCCAGTATGATAGGAAGAGAGAGAACCCAATAGAGCATTTGCATACTCCACCAACATTCTCACACGAGTCCGCCATTGCATCACCCATTCTAAACCATTCCATCACATTCCCACAAACAATTGCAACTTGCAACCCAATGATTCTCACTTTACAAGTGACATGTAGCAGACTATAACTGCTTGAACATGCCTGTAAATTGAAGATTTTAAATTAGAAAAATCTTCTAACACCAGTGAACTAGTTTTAATTCGGTAGCAGACAGTTGGTGACTCACAATACATTAAGGTTACAAACGCACATGGTAAGAGACTACATTATGCAGTGTACTGCAATCAGTGTGTGTTTGAATTAGATTTGTATGCATTTGTTTTGTATTTAAAATAATCAATCATTGAGGATGAAGTAGGAAAATAAAAATTAAATAATATATGCTAATTGCTTGAAATCATAAGCCTTAAAACATTGCTTATCTTGAATAAAACGTTTTCTTTATTAAAAAATTACTCAAAAATTATCAATTAATTTTTTGAGTGTTGTAAACTTTCAATTTTTATGATTGAGTTTAAACATCTAAAAATAAAAAGAAACTATTAATTACTTTCCAATAAAAGCTTACTACTTCCAAATACTAAGTTAACCATAAAGATTAAGGTTAACAAAACCGATTTTCTACTAATGACCAAACAATATTTAGTAGTATCTTCGGCGATTTTTTTTATGTAATCAGAAAATATAATTCATTTTAAACACTAAACACACTCTTAAATTGGTAAAATTGAAAACCGTGGCCGCTTACATTTCGGGAAAGAATATCATCACCAATAGTTGAGCAATTCATATTGTGCACATCTTGAAACGCTCTTGGAATGGAGAGGGATGTTTCTTCTAGACCATCAAATGTCAATACCCTTGGTTCACCACAATCTCTCGATTTCTGTAATTGAAAATCCCACACCTTCACCAACATAAAATAAGTGAGCACTAATCATTCAATAGCATAAATTTCACATCTAAACCAACTATACCACATTCATTACACATGCCAGAACGTTAGTTGAACCACTACACCATAATTAAATTCAATTAAAGGAAGCTGCACTAATTACAAATTAGAGTCTAATATCTATCCACATTGCGATTTCATAATCAAACTCGGAAAAGAAAAATAAAAAACTTCAGATAAAAATAGTTATTAAAAAAAAATTGTTATAGTTAAATGACAAACCTGAGGGGTATGATACGTGGGACAACAATTCCAGAGAAGATCCCCTGTTTCGGCTCCGTAACCGTTATCATTACTTTTCCTGGCGTCAAATTCAGATTCAGACGGCAACATGAGCAAGGACGTAAAAGGCGTCTGCTGGAGAAGCATCTCATCAACGACGTCGTTTTGGTGGTTGTTATTAGTATCATGATGGTTGAACTTGAGCTGAACGCTCTGAGCACTGAAGTCCCTCCTTCTGGCAATCTCGAGCACCTGTTGGTAGACGTCATCTCTATTATACTTGGGGGGGGCGGCGGCGGTGGGGACGACGGGGCAGTCGGGGTCTTGGGGCGGGTGGTCGGGACTGAAATCGAGGCCGAGAGCGGAGGCAATCTCGGGAACGGAGGGGCATCCGGAGAGGCCATGGAGGCGGTGGCGGTGGTGGGGAGAGGCGGTGGAGTGGGCGTGGGAGTCGCAGTGGTGACAGAGTACGAGGTTGTGGGTGGAGCAGCGAACGGAAGCGGTGTCGCTCTTGCAGGTGTCGCAAATCTGGTAGCGCACGTGCTTGAGGGAGAGGGCGTTGGCGGCGTGGACGTGCTGGTCGCATAACAGACAGAGTTTGGCTGAATCGGCTTTGCAGAAGAGAACGGCGGTTTTGGAGTCGCAGAAGTCGCAGGGGAGGATCATGGTGATGGGGAATGGGAATGTGAATGTTAGAGAGAGAGAGAGAATGAGAATGTGATGAAAGAGCACATGATAAGCATGGGGAAGGTGCAGACGCAATCTGATGGATATGAAATGGACGGGTGGGGACACGCAGGGAAAAGATATTTCGTCACTTTTTTTCCCAAACCCTCCCTTAGTGTCCTTCCTCCATCTGCTCTCCCTCTTCTCCTTTCCTCATTCCCTTCTGTTCTCTTTCTCCCCAACACTCTTCTTGGGCTTCAACCTCGGCCCAATCTCATTCCCCATTTCACTTTTCTTACATTCTTATTACCATCACTCTCTTTATTCCTACAACAATATTGTTTTTTTTATTATATATTTCTCACTCTTTAACTCTTTAGGTATATTATTTCATAAATTTATTTTCTCTTGTATAATATCATCTCTTTATTTTTTACTAAAACATATTCTCTCTTTTTATTAATATATTTGTTTTTATTTAATAATATCCGTGTAGTTCAAAAATATTTAATATATATATATATATATATATATATTACATTTATGCAAATTTTACTATTCTTACACTTTTAATTTTTTTTTTATAATTTAATCTAAACTTCAATGTTAAATTAAAAATTTCAATTCAAAATTATTTAATAACTTATTCGTATATATTAAAACTAACATATTTGTAAAATATATGAAAATAAAGACACTTTTATAATAATATTATAGATATTCAATTTTAACATAATTTAAAATAAATAATTGTTATTAGCAAGATTAAATTAAAAATATAAAATTATTCATTTTAAAAAAATAAATTGTTATTAGCAAAAAAAAAAATAGTTATACATAACAAAATATAAAAAGTAAATAAATAAGTGTGCATGTTCTTATTTTTAAGAATGAGATACACTCATAATAGAAATGAAGACCGAGTACAAATTTAATTTGAATAAAAAAATGATATGATATTATTTTAAAAAAAATGAATTAATAAAATACCTCTCTTTTAGCAATTACAAATAACTAAGCTGATAAAACATAATTTTAACAGTGAGACGGGCGTGAAAAAAACTGATATAGCAATTTTATAAATATCTGTATGAATGGTAAAATATTTTGTATGTGTATATAAATTTAGTAAATTATGTTTTATCAAGTTTCTAATTTTAAAGTGACATTTAATACATATGGAATGCACGAAGTTCATTTTTTTTTTTATTTGATCTTTTTAAAAAGTGAAAAATAGATAAATAAGTTTGTGTGTTCTCATTTTTAAAAACGATATACATTCTTCGTTTTATATTAAGACAGAGAACAAATTTAATTAGAATAAAAAATTATTTTTAAAATATTTCACTTTTAATAAGTAAAAATAACAAGTTGATAAAACACAAGTTAAATAGTGACACCGTCTGAAAACATAAGATAAACTAATATATAAATTTTATAAATGTTTGTATGAATTGGATATTATTTTCACTAAAAAAAATTATGTATGTACTTATGGATTTAATTAAATTATTTTTATATTTTTTAATTTTAAAGTGACATTTTATCCATTTGAATGCATGAAGTTTTTTTCTTTACTATTATATTAGATTTATTATGAAAATTTAATAGAGAGCATAAAAATAATCACTAGCATGTAAGAGTTAATAAATGAGCTCTTCTTAAAAGGGTGCCTTCTAATTTTTCACTTATTTTTTTATGACAATGTTTTACTATTTTGTAGAGCATAAAATTTACAAGTTTGCTTAATTACTAATGTGTTCAATTATTTTTGTTAAGTATCTAAATTTAAAATAAATTTATAAAAATTTGTAATAAAATGTTTGAGATAGGTGTCAAGAAGCAATGTTAAAAGATTATCTAAGTTGTCTTTCATTAGCTTAGTAAGTGACTTGGGAAGATATCTTAGATTTTCTTTACTCCAAGAAAGAGTTAAGAAGAAATACTTCTATGCGTGATTAAAAAAAATTCAAAAACATCTTTATTTTTGAAAAGGAAAATTATTATACAAGACAAGGTTATTTTTTTTTTTTTCTAGACCATATGTATATTTTTTTTAGAGACAATTTTGTTCGAGTTAAACAAAACTATTATAAATGAACAAAGTTTTCCTTCTGAGTATTTAATATAATTGTATTCACTACAATTTAAACTTGAGACCATAAGTTAAGTTAGAACAAATTTCTATCAGTTCATCAACATATAATTAAATTCATTATTATCTTCATTTATATATATTTCATGCAATTTTATTGGTTGTCTTAATGTAACTGTGACAAGATAGATAGAACTACCACACAATTTGTTTAGAAAGGATATAACCAAAGAACAGGTATACACCTTATTTAAAATGTCATGATTTGTCCAAAACAAGCCGAAAGGATCAGTGTTAGAGAATTAAGGATTATCAACACCTCATTGTTAGAGAAAATGGAATGGAAAGTTTGGACTAAAGATAATAGCCTATGGAGCATAAGTTCTTCGACACAAATATAATTTGCAAGAGATGGCTGGCACAAATTCATTTATAACAAGTTCTTACATTTGGAAAAGGCTACTAAAAGTAGTTCATTCAATATATCAAGGTATCACATGGCATGTAAGGGAAAGGTCATCTTCTATTTTGTACGATAATTACTCATATGATGGACCACTTTGTGACAAATTGAAATAGACTTATTTTTCATATACTTATTTACGCTTGAAGTATATCTTGATCAACCACATATGAACTTGAAAAACTTGTACTCTTTTGAATGAAAAGGTTGGACAAATATTCCTTAGTCTAACTTGATTGACGAATCTTTGAGTGGTTTTGAGAAGACTCAAACTCAGGAAGGTACACAAAAACTAATGGTTATGCATGGCTACTTAAAAGGGAGAAAAATTATGATCACAACTATATATGGTCTCAAAGTTGAAAATAAAGATTTTCAAAGAAATTAAAATTATTCCTTTAGCTATTAATGCATAAAGTACTATCTATTAACTATTTGAGATTTAGCAAGAACATGGTAAATACTTCTACTTATTGTCGTTGTAATAATATGGATGAATCACTCTTCCATGCCTTATGAGTCTACCCAATTTTTACATAAGTTTGGTTGACCTTTGTTATTTACCAAATTTCTTTAGTGGTAATTTGTCTGCTCACGTATGATATGAATAATCTTTATGGTGTATCATTATAATGAATTTAGTTTTAGAAGAACAACTTTTGTATGGACTTAATCAAGTGAGTTATGGCTATAAAGACTGATATTTTTCTACAATAAGGTATTCTAAATAACACAAAATTTGAAGATTTGGAAGCTATCAATGAACACTGAAATCAAAGTTAATGCTAATAGTAGTTGAACTCTTCCTCTACGATGATGAGATGTTGTATTATATTACATTCAAATTCAGGATGTTAGTTATTAGTTTATTTCGGCTACTATGGTATAAGAAACATACTTCTAGTTAAATTAAGTGTTAATCACTATAGGATGAGTAAGAAATAAAGTGACTGAACTCAACAAAATTGAAGGAATTAGTGTGTGTATACAAACTAGTTAGGGGATGAAAAAAATTAGTTAAAAATGGTTTGGAAAAGTTTAGCGTGGGTTTTAAAATCTAAAAGTGTTGATATTTGAAACCAACTGCTTATTATTATAGACTCATGTAAAATTTAAGTGGATTCACGATTGTTTAAGCACACATGATTCCCTCTCGTTAGTTAGATGTTATAAGACTTTACAGCTTACGTCATAGTCTATGTCACTAGCTTGGACTCTTTTTTCGGTTTTTGTTCAAATCTCAATTTTTTTTAGTGCTCACTTCTTACTAGATGGAGGCATGGAGCTCGATGGTCTACCAGCAAGTTGACACATTGATGATGGGTGAGGGTCGAATGTGGCTTGGCCATGGAAAACGATGGTGGTCTCAATGGTTGCACACAATAAGGGATTTGTTGTTGGCTGAGTTTGCAACAATGATTTAAGCATGGTTAGTGGTGTTTAACAATGATGGTTTGTTAATAATGATGAAGTGTTTAGTGGTGATAGAAAATTGTGATTATATGCTGGGTTTTGTTATGGGACAAGTGACAGACAATGGTTTTGCCAAAAAAGGTGAGTTTGTGGTAACATGAGTAAACACACACGACTGTCGATGGAGTTGGAAAGCAAGCTTTAACTTTTTTTGTGGAACAAGAGAAAGAATAATTTCCAGTCAAGCTTTCAAAAATTAGAACTTGCTTTCCAACCCAATTATCAACCTAAAGAACCCACTGACTCATGACAAATCTAGAATCTACATTGGATGGAGGCAGTTCAAAAATCCTTACCATCGATTTTCAAATGGATTGAGTCATTTGCACTTGAATAGACCAAAAATAACTAATCACCACCCCCAATTCACAATAACTTGAACCTAGCTTGGACTCAAGATCATAGATTTATTATGAATTTAAGTCACTTGATGCAATTTAGTTACTCAACTCATATTTGCTTACAAGTTTTTACACATATAAAGAGTTAGTGTCAAATATTTGAGCGTTAATGCAAAAGTCTTAAGTAGAGTCTTAGATAGCTTAAAACATGTTCATAACTCTATCAATACTATTGCAAATGATATTATAAAAATAGGTTTGAAAGTTGAGTTGACCTTTAAAATTTTAAAATCTCTTCTTTTATCCTTAAAAAAAGCTTTTGTAAAGAATATTATTGCATGTTTAAAATATTTATTTTTGAAATATTATCTCAAAAATTAATTAAAAAACTTATTTTTTAAAAATGATTTTAAAAAATATACACTTACAATATTAATTTTTTTTTGTCAATACTTTCTCTAGTTAACTATAATCTATCTTACCATAATTTTTAAATAAGTATATTTTTAAGCATTATTTTAATTAATTATTTTTAGGAGTTAATTTTCTTCTTCACTATTTTAGGGTTTTTTTTTTCATTGAACATTTAACTTCTTAATTCAAAATTTAAAATTTACCCTTTGTATAATTTTTTTAAAATTTTAAAATATATAATTTTATTTAATATAATGTAGTATTTATCATCAATAATTAAAATATTAACTTTTAAATTATAAAATTTATTAAATTTTAAAAATTACAAATATATTTCTAAGTTTTTTAATTTAAGAATACATGTATAATATAAAAACTGCTAATATATTAAATTGGAATTATAATTATTAAATAAGAGTATTTTTATATGCTACTCTTACCTCAGCTAACTTCTCATTTATTTTTATTTTTTTTATTAATTTTTCAAGTACAATTTTTTATTTTAATATTTAATTAATTTAAATTTTAAATCTTGATATATCATATTAAATTAAGATATAAATTTTCAGATAAATTAAATTTGAATACATTTTGACACATGACATCAATAAAGGTAATATATATATATATATATATATATATATATATATATATAATTCAATCTTAATGTGAATTTTAAAAAAATGAATTTTAATTTTAATTTATTTAAATTAATAAATATTTATTATCGATGATAAAAATATATATATAATTTTTTTAAAACTTAAAAATGGTATGTAATATAAATTGAATTTTTTTTATTTAAAAAATTTATTAAAACATCAGTTATTTATCAAACATGTATTTGCCCTCTATGGTATTTGTATTTGTTTGCATCTTGTGGTACATACAACCCTAGCATTCGAACTGTGTCCATCACAAACATAACCCATAAAACGAGTCCCACGATCTCTTCTCTCTGTCTTCCTCATTGACTCTCTCTCTCTCTCTCTCTGCAGTGCCAATGGCGGATCCAATCTATAAGGCTCTGATCGCGTTCGCGCTCGTAGCTTCCTTGTTACTCTGTTCACACGCTTCCTCTGACGTACCCTTCATTGTTGCTCACAAGAAAGCCACCCTCAACCGCCTCAAGTCTGGCGCCGAAAGGGTCTCCGTCACCATCGACATCTACAACCAAGGAACCTCGTACGCTCCGATCTATCATCAATCATTCCCTTTTTTCGATTTTCGTTTTTCAATGTCCGAGATCCCAATTCCCAATTGCATGCATGTGCCCTGATTTTTTATTTATTTTTTAATTTCGTGAATATCTGTTTGATTGTTAATTGCTGGTTAGGAGTGGTAAATTTTAGTTGGATCTCGGATTTTTTTTTTTAAGTGGTGTGCAAAATAAAGAAAAAGGGTAATGTTTGATTAGCTGGAAGGAGATAGAAATAATAAAAATCGGTATTTTTTATTTCTGATCAATTTTTTAAGCATCAGGGGCATGCCCCTCTTGCTTGCATGAGTTAATAAGTGGAAGGAAAAGTGATTTTGTTGTCAAGGTTTTGCAACGCTGCAGTTCTTGCTTGTTTTATTTTGATCTAATTGTGGAGGAAAATGTGTTTTCCTGTATGGTTTGATGAGAAAAACTTGGTGTGAAAAAATTTAAGTTTTTGGCTTAATTGGAGCTTTAAGGGCATTTAGTGCTGGTGTTACCTGTAATTTGGCGATTGGGGTGTTCAGAGTATGGAGAAGTAAATTGCAAGTTATATTGCTTTGTTTTCTGCTTTGCTTGTTAGGGATTGGCTGGATGACTTACAAAATGCATAATCTTTTCCTGTGTTTTGTTGGATTGGGTTTAATAACTGTCATGGACAATGGTAGGCTAGTAGCTAAGGGTGTCAATCAATAAAATGGAACTTTGTGTGCTGCCACTCCTATTGAATCATGGTTTTGTTTCCCAATCTTATGATATCCTGAGTTTCACTTTTTATCTCTTCAATTTGCTACTTATTTTTATTAACATATGCACTAACCATTTTCTTCCCTTCCATTTTTTTGAAAGGACTGCATATGATGTAAGTTTAGCAGACGATAGCTGGCCAAATGATGCTTTTGATGTGATCAGTGGTAGCACTTCAAAGTCATGGGAAAGACTTGACGCGTGAGTTTCCTTTTGTTTGCACTAACTTTTTGGCTACCTAGGATTACCTCCTCCTGTTTTTGCTGTGCTGCATTATGCTTCATCTCTTTTTACATACAAATTGTGGAATTTTCAGTGGCGGCATCCTTTCTCACGCATTTGAGCTGGAGGCAAAGTCAAAGGGACTATTTTCTGGTGAACCAGCTGTCATAAAGTTCCGTGTGCCCACAAAGGCTGCTTTACAGGTTAATACGTTGGAATTGTTGTCTACTTTCATTATTTATGAGCAATTTTTTTTCTGATCTTTATGATTATTTTGCTATTAGGAGGCATATTCAACTCCCATATTGCCTTTAGATGTTCTTGCTGATAGACCTCCCGAGAAGAAATTTGAATGGGTATGTTTCCTGTAACTTAAAGTTACACAAATCAATGTCAATTGCTTGCATTGACTAACGTGTTGCTTTTTTGTTTTCATGTATTCTTATTTGGCTGGACCCTATTTCTCAGGCTAAGGTATGGGACAATTATTTATGTTCTTTATAGTTGCAAACTTCAAAATTATGCAAATGACTTAAAGTTTGAATTAGCATTACGGTTGCCTATTTTGGTAGTTGATTTTGCATGTCATTGGTTGTGCATGATAAGATTGATAAAGTCGATCCCATTTTCCTTTCTGGCGAAACTTATCCATTCTTGAAAAATGGGTGATTTGATAAGTCACGTGTAGTGACTATGCAGAAATAAAGTTTCTGTTTTTACTTATTTGTGCACTTCTCTCCAAATGTGTGATTCATTAAGAAAATAATGCTGCTTTTTAATATATTCTCAATGCAACAACCACATTCTAGATGTGGATGTATCTTATTGTAAAATCATTACCTTAATATAAACATGTTATTGTCCACAGAGGCTTCTGGCTAAGTATGGATCTCTAATCTCAGTGATCTCCATCGTGGTTCTGTTTGTGTACCTGGTAGCCACTCCATCAAAATCCAGTGGAAAAGGAAGCAAGAAGAAGCGTTAATCATTTGAAAATTAGTGCATCTGCAATCAGACATTTTGGAGGCTAGAACATGAAATTCTGTCAGTGGTCAGTTTTTACCTAGTTAGAGTATATGCTGTTGGACTTTTTTGATGAAGGGTTAAATGAGTTAGTGAGTGAACAAATTAATTTCTTGACGGCATAGCCTGAACAGTTGTTTTCAGTTCTCACTGGACGGAATGTATCTTAGCTAGCAAAAGTATATTTTCTTGATTACCTGATCTCATAGCTACTTTGGATTGAATACCATATATTTTGATGATCCTTAAGTTCGTTTTTCCATGGATGAATTGTTGGCCACTTTACCAAGTCAATTATTTACTTGAATGGAGCATGGCCATGGTAAGCTATAGGGGTCTTTTCTTCCTCCCCTCTTTGTGCCATAGCTTCTTTACAAGATTGCTTTTTCAGATTTTGATGAGTTGGTTAAAGTCTCTACTGTTTCAGGACTTGCAATCCATGTGAATTGTCTTGTTTCTCCTGGCTGTCCTGGGACAGAAATCTTGACATCAAAGCATTTTTTTGTCTTTTGGAAAACGTAAAAGCACATTTAAAATGTGATTTTCAATGCATGTGTTTTTTTAATAAAGTTTACCATTAATTGATTTTTTTAACTATTGTTCGAGAGAAAAAATGAAATGACTTTTTCTGTGTTAACAATAGAATGTCATGCAAAATCGGATTTAGACGGATCTCCCGGGAAAATATTCGATTGTAGAACTTTGCTCAAGTTTTTCATAAAGTGCCTTTTAACCCATTATGCATTTGACAGAGTAGGCAAAAAAAAAATCTTGGATTTGATCTTCTAAAGTGTGTGAATCTTGGATTTGATTCTTACGCCCATTATGCATTTTACAAAGTGTGTGAATCTTGGATTTGGTTGAGAGAATCTTGGATTTGATTCTTCTAATGTAAGGGCGAAATGTACTTTTAAAGATAAATTGTAGTTATAATTATTGAATAGAAACGCATCGATTGAGAATCTCATAGTTTGTAATATCCCAGTGTTTTACTATAATTGCATTTTATCTAACATGCACTCTTAAGACGAACTAAGTTAAAAATATCATGCGAGTCAAATATAGTTTGTTGAAAATTTACTACTTTTTCCACTAAATTAAATAAATAGAATGAATATTTACTTGTTTTATTTGACTTTTTTCATTTCAGTTTTGGAAGTTTATCTTGGTTCGGTTGGAAACTCCTTTGTTCCAATTCTTTCACCCTTATCGAACGTTTGAGATGTAAAATGAATGGATTGGATAAATTTTAAACTGAATTATAATGGATGGATAAATAATAAATTAATAATCTATTTTAATCCATTAAAAATATTTAAAAAATTAATTTATTCATAAGTTATTAAAAATTTATCAAATCTATTCAACTATTTTTATATATAGAATATCCATTTAAAATATATTTTATTTTATTTTTTTAAAAATGAAGTTTAAAATTTATACATTTAACATTATGAAGGTTAGGATCTATTTTTTAAATCATATATAAATTTAGCTAATCCTCTGACAGATTACGCTATACATGAAAGGAGATGAGATTAATGCTTATTACAAAAAGTGAGTGATGGGGAAAAATTTTCATATATTATGTTGATGTGGGTAAGAATGTCATTTGTCAATTGATTGAACACTATCGAATAGTTATGAGTTCATCCATATGATGTAAGGCAATGTATTATAATAATGTTAGAGAATAAGTATATAATCTTAATGAATGGTGTGATTGATAATTGTGCACGTTGGATAGATTCACCAATTTAAGTGTTGTGGTATAAATGCTACTATGTGAGTTTATGCAAACTCTATGGAGTACTTATGATGCAAGACCAAAAGGTACTGGACCATGCTGAACAATTTTGGCTAAACAATTTTGGATGAGAAATTCATAAATACTTTAATCTCACAAGCAATTCCAATGAGTCATGACTCATTTTCTATATATGCTAGTTTATAGTCTAAAAGATACTAATACTTATGCATTAATTTGTTAAGCTATTGATAGCATTCTTTTCTTTCTTTTAAATAAAAAATAAGTGAAGGATTGTTATATTAATTTCATTTTTTATTTATTTAAAAGTCAAAAATTACATTTAACTTTATCTCTGTGTAACATCCTTTTATCCATAAGATAACAAATTTGTTTTTACAATGGATAATAGATATTTTCTTTTTCTCCAAGTGTGTTTAAGTTGGAAGTTGGATAGTTTTTTTATCAAGAAAATCATCATTTTAGACCCTTGTCATTTTTAGGAAAATTCAAAATAATCTCTACACTTAATAACATATCATTTTAATCTTCAATTTATGTAGTTGATACTTATTTTAATTTTTATTGTCACTTAAATATTAATTGCCTTAATAAATTAAATGAGTTGATAAGTATTCACATGATGTATCACATAACATTTACTAATAACGTAATAGTGTGGCATAGATCTTCATATTTTATAGAATTCGGATTCAGACTAGTTCATAAGAAAATTGAACATTCAGTTTTAAATTTGTTTAAGCTAATTTAGTTTCACTTAAAGAATATAAGCGACAAAATAAAAATGATGAAAAATTCGCTTAAGCGAGCTTAGAATTAGCTTAAGTGAATTTTCATCTTCCCAGCAGCCAGCGCATACAACAATTAATGCTCTATAGCCTCTAACATTATATTCAATATGGTGCTCACAGTGTATAAATAAATACCCACATCTATTTTTGTACCTAAAGATTTTGAATGAGATAGAGTCTCAACTCAAAGGAAAAGGCAACATTTGCAGTGATGAGCTATCTTATTATTTTCCCACTCACTTTTTGTAGAGTCTCAATTCATACTCAGATTTTGGTGCATTTGATAAGATATAGGTGAGGTGTTTGACAATCCGAAGTGGGTATTCCATTATAATACTAGATTTGTTGATTTATTCCCATTAGAGTTTGTGAAAGACCATTGCAGTTCTGCATAGTTTTTTGCTATTCTATCAGCTTGGAGAAGAGAGAAAGACGCAGGTGGAAGCTGGCTGTTAGGAAGACGAAAAATTAATTCAAGCTTGCTTAAGCGAATTTTTCATCACTTTTATTTTGTCGTTTAGCTTATATTTGTTTAAGTGAGGCTAAATTTGCTTAAGCAAATTTAAAATTGGACATCCAAATTTCTGCATTAACTGAACTGGATCCAAATTCTATTTTACATACATCAATTTAGTCTCTAAAGTGTCTTTAATTAGTCAAATTATCTTCAAAAAAATTTTAATCAGTTAATTAAATCCTCGAAGAATCTTTAATAAGTCACTTTAATCCTAAAACTCTAAATTAACTTTTTTCCTTCTCTTCTTCCTTATTTGTTTAATAAATATTTTAGAACCATCTAACACATTGACTCACCCAAAATTTTTCTAAGTCAAACACTAATATTCAAGTTGTTGTAAGTTGGGTATTTTCTAATATCTTTTTTTTAATATTATTGTTTATATAAATGGAGGCTTTAGATTTTATACAAAAATACAAAATAAAATTTTTATTCTTATTCTTTTACTTAATTATTGTTCTCTTGAGCATTGTAAAATAATGTGTTCTCACTATTTTCAGTGCAGTTTTAATAAGAAGTAATTATTGTATATTGGACAGCAGTAGTTATAATATTATTTACACTAAGAAATCTACTTATGGTGACAAAATACTCTTAAATATAATGCTTTATAAGCTTCAACCAAAATTAATGAGTTTATCTTGTATTTATTTTATTTTTCTTATAATTACAGTTTATTTATTAATTTCTTTTTGTTTTGTTTGTGTTGCTATTATTATTATTTCCTATTTGGCAGCCTAGCTAGCTCAATTTTGGTCGTATTTTAGTGTTTTTGCGCAATAAACGAGTCCTTCTCTGCTAACAATTTTAAGGAATCTTGGATGATTTTACTTAAAAATGAATCCAGTTAACACAATAAAAAGTTACTTTTACGTTGTAAACATGCATTTTAGAGCTTCCCACCATGAAACTAAATATGCACTAAAAATTCTCGTAGTACTTAACTTGCAACGACTCAAATATCAGTGGCAGCACCTAGAAACTGGGTCACACCATCTATTTTTAAATTGTTTTATTCTAGATGAAACCACGATGGAGAGGGAGAATATCAAAATCTGTGTTCGAAGAAAGTTAACAAATTTGAGAATGAAAGCCTTCAGTTATGCTAAGTGTAAAATCAGTCTCGTTAGATAGATGAATGCTACAAGAGCCTAGTTTAAATCACTTGACACCAAACTCAGCAAATTTTTTAGTTGGAATGGGTTCAGATGGCTAAACCTCGGAACGAAGCTGCTATGAAATATGAAAAACTACTCTACTATACGTTCCAGGTCAGCTACTTTACTAATTAACGCATTTTGATTCCTACTTGGTCTCTGGAACTACTTATTCTTTTATTTAGATCATTATCTTGTACGCCAGTTGTCAAAGATGGGCAGCGGAATAATTCATGAAGTAATTTTCTTAATGAGAAATTTAATTCATAAAGATGGAGAACTTATACAAAAAATCTGTATGAAAATTACACAATACAAGAGATATATGAACAAAAAAGAAAGTGTGAAATAAAGTAGTGATATGGAGGATGAATGAAAAAAGTAGTATTATATAAATTTATTGTATAAATAGTTTAACTCTTATTCAATATACACACTTCACATGATCTACCAGCCCTTTCCCCTCTGCCTCTCTGTCTTCTAGCCAATCCATTGTTTAACCAATTTTGAAGTCAAAATAATTTAAACTGAAGTGTGAAGACCCAACAATGTGTTTGTTAACATAGTTTATTAAACTATTGCAAAAAAACAATGAACTTCCCCAGATAGAGCCATATTTGATTCTTAGACAACAAGTATTGATCCAACGCACAAACTACAAACTGAAAAATTTAAACAAAAATATACAACATAATAATGCAAAAACTAGAAATTAAAACAACCACAAACTCATATCAGAAAGAAAGGGGGGGAAGGGGGGATCATCCAGCAACAGAAATCACTGTTCAAGAACTAGTGGGTGGCACGGCCACTCCTGGCACCACAAAATGTGAGATACCTTCTGAGAGGTTCGTAACTGCTTTATCAAAATTAACAAAACCCATGAACCAAAAATCATGCCCATCAACAGTTACAATCTGGATATACTTTTCTGATGGGTTCTCCCTCATAATCACTGGATTGACTGTTCCAATCTTCCCCAAAGGCACCATTACCTGTTTACACAACATAATTTCAACTCATTTCAATTTTCATACACCAAATGACACATTCATTTTATTAATTTATACCCACTGCTAATAGTTATTCAAGTACCTAAGCAACTTTAGTTATTTGTATGTAAGAGGTGGTTACATTAAAAGGGAAGGGTTGCTTATATAAACGTATGTTACATATGGGAAAATGTGACACAGATAAATTTGAAGAGAAAACTATGTAACTCTTCTCTAATTGCAAAGATAAAGATCCTCTAAAAACTTTCATTTATTCTTGGCCTCTTAGTAAAAAAAATGAACTAACTTTAATAACGGATTTCCAATACCTTGTAGTAGCTCCAAGTTTCCTGGCCAGAGGGGGCAGTGAAACACAATGGGCGATCGCTGCAAAAGGCTACATGGATATTAGACAGATAAAGTGTTCCTGCAACAGGCCCTGTTGATGTTGAAAGGTAACAAGCAAAGCTCTTCTTGAGCTTTTCGTTTGGATAGGTTGTGAATGTTTGCTTGTACAAAGACTCAAATCCACCCTCTGATATCGCTTTCACTGTCAGATTCATCTTCCCCAGTGCAGCTGAAGACACTGATGGACCAGTTTTTACTGCAAAAAACAGTAACAAACCAGCAATATCATCATGTGAAAAATAATTTAAAAGTGAGGAACATTTAGCCACCCCTTTTTAGGCCTAATCCCTTGTATAGTTTCCTAGAACTTCAATTTAGTTTGTAACTAACATTACCTCCATGACATATATCCAAAACATTAATAAGTTCCCAAATTTAGCAATATCTATCAATTTAATTCATGATATTATAAAAAAGACAAATGCTGAGGAAGCTACAACTTATGGAGTTTAAAAATATACTCTCACCATGATTTTCAATGCACTTTAACATGAGTTTTTAATAATTTTTTTATTAACTGATTTTTTAGCTAATACACTTGCAGTAGGAGTTAATAAGACCCAAATCAATTTTAATTTCTCACTTCACCAACAAACAAATTTGTGTTTTAAAAGATATTAAAATGCGTATAAACATGAACTCAATACAAAAAGCTGCAACTAATAGCGTTAAAAGAAATGTAAATTCAAATTATTAAAATAAGAATCTGAATAAGTCTGAATACGAGTTATAATGCTATAAACGAGTTCAATCTCCTAATATTACTATGCAGAATCACGTGCGTCCAAGGTAAAAATATGCAAAACCAAAAACGCGATAAGGATCCCTCTAGCAAGCGGCTGGAAAATCAGTTCTCATATTTTTTCATAAAACCCAGTTTCAATAAAAATTTATAACTAGGATTAATTTGAACACATTTTAATTACATTCAATGGATCAAAATAAAAACCAGTTATGTTCAATAAGCAACAAATAAACTAGTGTGTTAATTCCAATAAACAAATTCATGCTTTGAATAAAACAGAGGAAGGAACTTACGGTTGTGCCAGATGTTATGGGCGGTGGTTTCAGCCTTTTTGCTCCATGAATCGAACATGTTGAGGATTGACTCCATGGGACTATTGCTGGGTTTCTCAACAGGGCTGTGTTGCACGTATGGATGAGGCGGGTGGTGGTAGTATTGAACCTGTTGAGGCTGTTCGCTTGGACCACTTCGTAAAGCAGCTTTTTTGTTGTCTGGGTGGCTACTTGGTACTGCGGGGGTTCCCATGATGTGAGTGCCCCAATTCTCAGGACCATGGTTGTCGGGTGGAGGAGATGATGATGATGAAGATGGTGGTGGGGATGATTGGTTTTTGGTGTTGGTGTTGTTCATCTTGCTAAGAGGAAGAGATGAAAGTGATGAGAAATTTTGAAGGTTTTGGGTAGAAATTGTTGAATTTAAAGAGTATTGTACGCGCTTATGAGGACAGGTGGAATGAAACTGCTCTCAATATATGAATACTATACCACCGACTATCGTTTGCTTCACCTTTTGTCGGAAAAAGGTTACTATTCGGTTGCTTTCTTACTAAGATTTTGATTGTCATCCCAATATACCTTGAAAATTCACAAACGGAAAGATAACCATTTATATATTGTTCCTACTCAACTTAAAGGTAACTTTTAAGATTAAAATTTAAATAATTAACTACGTGATTTAATGAAAATAAGGATATTAGTTAAGAGAGGTTAAGCTATGCAATAAAAAACAAATAAATAAATAAAAGATGGTACAAGTTATTGTTACTAATTTATATTTATGTCTATTAAATTACTAATATCCGAAATCAGAATTGTTAAGGAAATAAATTTTAAAAAAAACTTGAACAAAACATTTTTAATAGCCCGTGTTTCATTAAAAAAGAAAAAAAGAAAAAAGCTTCCAATGGAGGGCATTTGTTTAGGTGCTGTGAACATTTTTTTATTGTTCATTAAGTTTTAAAATTTATTGATGAATAATAAATACTAAGTTGTATTTTTCAATTATCATCTAACGTATTGAAAAACAGTTTATTTTATAGTGATGGATCGCATATTTAATTGGCCCAGATGTATCTGGGTAGACTCGAGACATAAATTATTGTTTTAATTTTATAATTTATTAATTGTACGAGTAATATAAATTAGTGATTTATATAACTTATTAATAAATTAATAAAATGACTTATTTTTTAAAGTTATAATATTATAATTTAATTTTTGATAAATTTTGTAAGTTAAAATTTTTTAAACATTAAATATTTTTAAAATATTTTTAAAAAATATAATTGTAACATTTATAAAGTTAAGTTTTTTTATTTATATAAAACTTAATTTTATTCTCCCAAACTTACTCCTTTTCAATTTTTTTTTTGTAAAGATAATTTAAGCATTTCTTTCATATTTTTAACAACTAATTCAATTGATTAAGTACTTACGGATAGATTTTAAGCAATAAAAAGCTTGGAAATAATATTAAAAACAAGAGATTAGGTAGAATCAAGTAATATCCACTTGAAATAATATTATAAAAATTTTGATCAATTTCTCTTTATTCTATTTTTATTCCCATTTTATTTTCCCTCTCAAATAAAATATAAATATGTTTCTTAAATCTAACAACTCTTTGTCATTGTCATACTTTGAAATGTGATATTTGAAAATAGAATCAATTAAATTTGTACATATCATATACTCATCTCAATTTTCTTACAAACAAATAATTTAACTAAATCAAAACAAAAATAATGACTAAAAAGGTGTAATTGTGCTAAAAAATACAAAAAATTATTTTCTGTAATTTTTTCTTAAGCTAATTTTATAAGATGATGAATATACAAATTTTATTAATTAAGTCAAATTAATTTTGCTTAAGTCATAATAATTTGACTTAAGAGAAAATATGATATTCAATATTCGCTTAAGTCAAATTTTATTTGCTTAAGCGAATATTAGAATATTTTGTATCTAGTAACCCTTTTTTTTCTGTCACTTTCGCTTAAATGAAAAAAATAAGACTTAAGTGAAATTTACAGAAATTATGCAAAGCAAATGCGACTAGTGTATAGACATTAGAAAGATATAAAATGATATTGAACAATTTATCAATACAAAATTTGATTTCCATAATAAATTGAGATTATGAGAATGAATGTAAAAATTTTAATTCTAAAAATTATGAACTTCATACGTAAGATTTGTAGATAATTCTAAAAATTTAAAATAGCATTTGACTTTCTATTAGTTCAAAAGTTTTTAATTATGAATTGAAATTATAAATACAAATTTTCTTAAAATCACCACCTAAATATATGATACATACAGTTAGAAAAAAATATAAAAAATGACTATCAATATAATCATATAAAGATATAAAATAATAAGTTTTGAAGATCTAAAGAATACTTTTACAAATTTTGATAGAGGATTAAATCATAAATATATAAAAATTAATATTATTAAATTATATGTAAAAAATTTAAATTATTTTTCTTTTAAAAATATATCTAATAGCCTAAAAAAAAGTCACTCATTCATGCACTACTTACTTGCTAACTCATGTTAGCTTGAGCCTCTAGTAATCTTAAATTTTAAAAATAAATTAGGTGATTAATAATAATTATTTTTATAAAAAATAAATATATTTATTATATTTTTAATATAATAAATTATTAAACATATATTTTAATTTAACCTATAATATTAATTTTGAATATCAATGTAATTTAATTTAAAGAATATTTGTGATTTACGCTTGAAAAATCTTTAATATAATAAATATTATAATTTTTAATAAAATTTTATTGCTAATAATTATTTAAGTTTCATGTTAAAAGTTAAAAATTAAAAAATTATTATTTTATCATTCACTAATAATAATGATTAATAAAAATTTAAATTATATATTTAATTTGTAATTGAATTTTTTATTTTATCATTTAATATTGTCTTTATTCAAATATTTTTTTAATTTAGTTTGAGTTTCACTTTAAATTTTTAAGATTTTTTATTTAATTTAATTATTTAAATTATTTTATCATGATAATTTTTTTCTCTAACTTTGCTTCATTTTAAATTTTAATTGGTTTACAATATATAGACACGAGTTCATAATGAAGATAATTAATGATAAAAAATAATAAAATTATGCAATTTATCAACAGTTGATAATAATTATTAGGTATTCATAATAGAAAAAAAATATAAATAAGTAATTAGTAAAAATGATTTGAAGGTAATTAAAAATTATAATTTAAAGGTTTTGAATGAATAATAATAAAATATATATAAAAAAAAGTTTGTACGTAAATTCTTTTATTTTAAGAACTTTAGTGAAATTAAGAGATGGAATAAAGTTAAAAGATTAACTTTTTAAAAATAATTTCAAAGAATTAAATTAACTTTTAAAAATTAAATTAAATAAAGAAGTTAAAAATCACTTAAATAGAGAGTAGAAAAATTATAATTTAACTTTAATAAAATACTTACCCAACACCTAAAATTTATTTGACACAGGACATGTCTTATTTTTAAGAGACATAGTATAGCTCTTAATAAATTACTTATCCAATTTTTCTTTATGAATATTTGGGAAAATATCTAATTTTTGAATATATTGAAATAATGATTGAATACACGCTATTTATAAATAAAATTAAACACACATCAGTATTAAATGTTATTATTTAATTTAGTGCATAGTTAACCTAAATAATAATATTAAATACTATATTTTTAATTAAAATATGTTAATTATATTAATTTATAATTTTTGATATTGATAAAACATTAAAAATGTTGCTACTAAATAAAATTATTTATTACAAATTTAATTTATTAAATACATTATGAAATAACAAAATTTGCATACAATTATATACTATAAACAAATAATTAAAATACAATCTTGGGACCAATTATATTTGCAGGATTAAGATGGTGATACGTGGCAAATGATGATTGGAGCAGTGTAACAGAGTAGCAACGCTGTGCGAACACGTTTTGGGGTTTGTATTTGGATCTCCTAAAATTGAGGCAGAGCATTGAAAATCGAAAGAGCGTGACACAGAGACAGAGGAGAGGTTTCATCGCAAAAACCCAAACCAAAAGCATAGACAAATAATGAGTAATTACCAGAGAGCACCCCAAGACCCTTATCCTCCACCCACAGGTAAATAAAACCCTTTCTTAACATTGCAAACTTTCTCTATTTGTTTTTTCTTGCAATCTCTCTGTAATTTCAATTTCAATCCACGCAGGTTACGCTTCTCCGTATCCCCCGCCACAAGGTTACCCGTTAGCACAACCGCCGCCCGGTTACCCATCAGCACCACCGCCACCCGGTTACCCATCAGCGCCACCGCCTCCGGAGTATGCGCCGTACCCTCCGCCGCGTCCACAGTACGACGGTTATCAGGCCTATTTCAACGATGGTTATCCTCCGCCGCCGCCACCTCCTCCACATTACCACTGCCACCACGTTCAGCATCATCACAACGACAGCTCCGGTTTTTCTTCATTCTTCCAAGGCTGGTACGTTCTTCATTTTTATTTTCCCACCCTGTTCACATATATGGGTTATCAATTGACACGATGCGAGTCACATTTTTGCACCAATTTCTGTTCTTTTTTTAAATTTTAATCTAGTGGCTTAAGTGTATTTTTGTTGAGGAACATTGATGGAGAAAATGAATATCCAAGTCTGACGTCAATGAAAAACAAGATTTTGACATTACTTTTACATGAAAAGTAATCTTTCTGCTGAAAATCAAATATTTGCTTAATGACTTACCACAGATAGGAACAGGGCACTCACTTAGGCTATGTTTGTAAGTAGAGGAGTAGGGGAGAGGAATGGAGGGCTTTTAAGCTTTGTTTGAGAGTTAATTTTTAGGGAAAAAAGGGAGGGAAGAGGAAGGGTTATTTGATGATAACCCTTGTTTGAAAGTTTTTAGATAAAAGGGGAAGGTTTTATAAACCCTCCTCCCTGCACCTCTCCTCTTTTACTCTTCAAACCCTTTCATTCTCTCTCTCTCTCCAAACTACCAAACAAAGCCTTAGGGACCTTGCTTAGAAGTTTTTGAAAATAAGGGGATGGGGGTATATCTCATAGTCACATAATTCGCAGTACTATCCAGTACGTGGTACGAGTACGTAGTAACGCTACCTTGCTAAGTATGCGGTACGTGGGGTTATACATAGTCGGTACGTTATTTAGGTATGTGGTACGCTAAAATATATTAATCAGTACGCTATCAATAGAAGAATTATATATCAATCAATGCAACATTTAATTCAAGTTATTATACGGGAAGTTTTGATCTTTCCCATGCATTTTTCTTGATGAATAACGTTTTATTTCCTTTAATATTTAATTTATTTGACCGTTTCCATGCTTAAATTACAATAAATATGACGATTGATATTTTCCATGAGTCAGTATTGCTAAGTTGAAGTTTTATCATATAAAATTATATTATATTCAAAAGTTAAAAGCAATACGCCAAGTCAAGCGATCTGGTTCTCCAACGTACCGTGGATTGGTACGCACGATCCAATTCGCGGTACTCAGGCAATTGAACGAATTATGTGACTATGGTATATCTTCTGTTCATTTTTTTTTTAATTCCCTCATTTTGGAGAGTTTTTAACATCCAAACAACAAGAGTAGAGTTTAGCCTCCCTTTCTCCTTTGTTCTTCTAAACTCTCAAACAAAGCTTGGTCTAATCACCACTCAGCTGCTCATAGAATGCAATGTTACGAAACAGGCAAAACATCATTCTCTTCCCAGCCTCCCATCCCATTATGGTCTTCAGGGAAATCACTTTTGCTACATACAAAATTTCCCAAAGGAAAGTCGTCTACAATTCCCTACAATATGAATTAGATGACATATGTGCTCCTATATTTTACCGCAGTAAGTAAATGGATAAAACTTAGGTGCAGTATCAATCAAGAGTGGGCTCTTACCTTGGTAATGTGTGTCAACTTTTAATTTTGACATTTATTGCGTAGATTACCGGTGTGAAATTCTAATTGACAAGAAAAGAGTTTAATGGATCCGTAGGCTTGGGATGTGTGCAATTAGGGAGGAGTAGAATTTTTTTTTTATTTGGGTGATTCAGAGGTTTTTGGTCAAAAAGGTGGGTTAAAGCTGTTATTAGGTAGTGTTGCTAGCAGATATTGGTCACTTTCATGTGGAGACTAGTGGACAAGATGTGCAACTCTCAATTCTCAAGTCAGGATGACAATTTCTATATTACGCGAGACAAAGTGGTATTGAGTATTTTTATAGATAACTGCAACTTTTATGTAGTGTACGTGAAAGAAAAGTGACAAGTTGCTTTGCATTGAATAAAAGGCAGTACTAGACTGCCCAAGGGCATCCTGCAGTCAAGGGCCACCTTGGCCGTTAGCATCCTTTAATCTAAATTAAGTGTCATGTGATTTATTCTCCATTCTATGATAACCGTGATGTCTCATCTCAAGGCCTGAGATGCCTTGAAAGCATTTCCATCCAAAGTCATCAGACCACTTATCGAACCAGAATTCTTGCATTTCAATGCTTTCTCATCAGTCTCGGGTGTCATCCATTCTACCTTGACTGTTTTGAAGTAATCATCATTAAGTTTAACCAAAACTTCTAAACTTAATTAAGATTTAAGTAAATTAAAAACAATGAGTCACATACAGTAGTAACACTACTATACCTAAGTTTTGTTGTTAGTAAAAAACCTTTTAAATCTCATAGAAATTGACAATTGGTAACCTTTCAAGTGTTAACTTTGTTCATTCCAAGTTTCCTTTTTTTTTTTTTTTTACTTCTACACAGTTAGTTAATGGTGCAGTAGTAGAATTATTTTATCATTGCTTTGTGATCAATGATAACCTTTTAAGAGTATTATTTTCTTCACTAAAGATTGTAAGAAACCCATTGATGTAGAATAATAAGTCAAGCATATTCCTAATGGGCAGTGTTCACTAAGAGTCTATTTGGGATGTTTTTAAGTTTTCAATTTTTTGTTTTTGAATGCAAATTTTAAAACAAAATATGTATCAGTATATGATTGAAATGAAGTGGAATTGGTTTTTATTGGTTTTGAAATAAATTTAATTCAATTTAAAAAAAAAAAACTTTTTTGGTTTACTGTGTTCATTTTGTATTAACAACTCATTCAATTTTTTGGTTTTTTTTGAAACTTCATTACCATTGTCATCACTTCTCGCATTACCATTGTCACCATTATTGCTACCATCACCAACCACTATCTTATAGTTGTTACTACCGTCAGTGACCAACCATCCTCATTAGCACCACTATCACCACAATTACAACGATGCCACAATGACTACTATCATCAATTGTCATTGTCATTTTCATCGTTACTATCATAGTTACCTCTGTTGATGACCACATTCATCGTTATCTTTCAATCCTTGACAACTTTCCACCATAGTCATTGTTACCATTGCTATGGCAACCACCATCTTTTAAGGATTTCACCACCACCATCACTATTGATTATTGTCATCATCATTATTTCTACAACCATGTTCACCACCTTTGTGGTTACTCCCTAGTTGTTCTGACCACCTATCACCATCTTCGCCAATATTACCACTGGTTACTTTGTTTCCAATGAATAAATCCAAACATGTACTGAGGTTTTTATGTTTTAGATATGAAATTTAATATTAAAATTTGACAAGTGAAAATTATAAGAATTTGAAAGCTAAACCATAAAACTGAAAAATGGTTTAGTTTTTAAAAAACTTTGAAATTTAAAACTAAATCATCCCAAATGGAGCCAAAGGTTTCAATTTTGATACTTTCTAAAGAAATGTAAATCAATATTATATTTATGTAGGCAAGGTGCCAAATGTTTAAATTGATTATCTATAATAATAGAGAGAAACATCATAATAATAACTCTATTCTGTATTGGAATAAGATAATCCAATCCATCATATGATAAATTTAATAGTAATTAGCAATAACAACAACCAAGTCTTATTCTAAATAGAAAATAGTCTCAAATCAAATTCCCTAAGTTCAAAATCAAATCCTAAATTTAAACTGTAAATTTACTTGCCTATTTTACATATTCCCTTGGGTGAGAAGAATTCTCGAGAAAGATAATGATCCAAGAAGGTATTTATCTATGTTGACAAAACTTCCTATCCTTTTATCCATGTGGCATTCAAAGCAGAATGGTTCTTCCACTCACAAGGTAGTGGAGAAAAGGAGTGGCATGCCAACAATTTCACTATCCAAAGCAATCTCTATCTTATTTGACTGCCAAGGAACAATAGGAACCTTGGCAATCTAAAGAGACCTAGGACCTTCAGAAACAACTGAATACAACAAGGATGGATAAATATGCCTCTATACGGTGTTAGATCCTCATTGAAAACAAGATTATACTCATATCACTAGGCTCACATTTACACCTATCTAAAATCTAAAATGGGAAAAGGGTCAATAGCTCTAGCATGCAACTTTTGAAAGTGCCACAAACTGAGTCCTATGATGCACATTAACAGTAACTTTATGGTTATTTCTACTCGATGCAAGTTACATCTAATATTCAAATGCTAATCATAGATATGAGTAGCAAAAGACTTGGTGAAATTTTAAGAACAACACTCAGCAGATGGAGTGTATACACTTGGAGACATAAACAGTTAGACAGTTGGAGTATCTTTTGGCAGTTAGAGGTGTGAAGGGAATAAATAATAGAAAAATTGGAGGTTGTCTTCCTTTTGGTGTCTGAACAGATAACCAAGTGCAATGCTAAGTTAGAATGGCCTAAGGAGAAACCTTTGTCTTCTCTCTCTCTCTCTTTCTAGTCTCCCATTTCCTACATCCTGTTACTCTCCGAGGTTCTCTCAAGTGCCCAATGCACATACTGGCAAATGGAGTCCGTATTAGTAGGACAAAAATATCCTTCTTGACCTCTTGAAATAGTTTCTAGTATGTTCTCATTGCTGATTGTCAAACTTAAATCAATCTAACAATATAGGAAATAAGAAAATTGTATAGAACTATAGATCATCATAAAACTTTGGCACTTTAGCTGGGTCAATGACACTTGTACAGTGTACAGTACTTCTCCATGGAATCCATAGATATGTCCCTTACTTCACAACACCAAGGAACAGCTTTTTAGAGGTCCACAATGTGACAAGTCTTTGGTTGTGCAAAAATTTGATAACAGTGATAAAACTGGGTAACCAACATTACTTGAGACCAAAAGTACTCTGGGTATCTAAAAATCCTTTAGACTTTGTTTGCCTCCTTTTGACTACATCTCTTGTTGCTTGGACTGATTAATCTGTCACCAAACTTGTAGTTCTAGGAACTCAAAGCAAAAATTGAATTTCCACAACGACTAGAGTCAAGTTCTCTTTATTCGCTGAAGTCAGTTTTCTTCATATTACACTAAAAAATCGGGTGACCTTGAACCGTTAAATTAAAATAAAATCTAAGGGTCAGAATTGCTTAACAGTTACCTTTCGCTGATGAGCCAAACTCTTTTTTAATGCAAGTCTCAGTTTTTTCGGTTCAATAATGCATTCATATTCATTGTTAATTTTTTTAATCCAAAGCCAAGCTTTGCCATGATTTGGCAACTTGGAAAGTTCATCGGTTTAATAAACTTTCAATTTGTAATCAATTTGTTTTACAAACATATCAATAAACAAAAGGAAATCCTATAGGAAAAATTGCTAAATATCAGCCTGAGACATCAACTTTTTTAATTTAAAAAGTCATGAAATTCTTTTACTTTCACTGTTATATTTCTTGTCCTATTTAAAAACCCTTTTGGTGTTAAAGACTAAGATTCCTTTGTCTGTTTACATGTGCAGCTTGACAGCACTTTGTTGCTGTTGTTTGTTAGAGGAGTGTTGCTTTTTCTGATAATCGCATTAAAAGTTGTATCTCCAGATTCGTGTACCCGGTTGGTTATAGCTCTCTGGAGAAATATTGCTCTAATGCTCAATTGATATTGTGCGGGATCTGGCAAGTATTAAAATCGTTTGACTCTTGGTCTTTATCGTTGCCTCTGCTCATTTCTGTGTTGTTCATAGGTTCTGTGATGTGGTCTTCGTGTGAATGTTTGATGTATAGTTTTTTATGTGGACCAAGACTAATATGTTATAGTTATTGCTCGCTACTATCTTTAAACGTCATTATCATTCTTCTATGCTTAGAAGTAATGGATTTAATATGGAATTGCTCATTGAATTGGTAGAAATTAGGTCACTGTTTACTGGCTTAAGCATAGTCAAAGTTGCGATTAAAGCAGTGTATGAATATAAGTATATTTTTGTTTTTGAAAATTTTCTTTTTTTTTCTTTTCTATAAGAATTTTATTTTATTTTATTGCAATTCTTATATTAATCAAACATAATATAATTTTGCCCTTGTTTTTCCGGCCCAGAAACTGTTTAATTTTTAGAAACTAGACGAATAAAATTTAAATAAGGAATAATTAGCAAAATATGTTTTCTAAGAAATAAAATATATTTAAGCTTATATTTTACAAACAAATATAAGTTTATCATTTTTACAGGTAAAGGATAAGTTAAAAAGGGAGTTGTGGCCAGTAGCCAATTCAATTTGATTTTGAAAACACTGCTTAGCACAGGCTAGAATGGAGCTTAAGTGTGTATTTAGATGCAGGTTAAAAAAGTAGGTAGAGATAAATCTAATACAGAAATTACAACTGGTAGTATTGTAAATTCCATGCCCCTCCCCCCCCCCCCCCCCCCTCTTCCCACCTTCCTCTTCCTCAACTAAATTTAGAGTGAGAGATGTGATTTTGTAGACAAATGCTCTACAATCTACCCAAGAAAATGTTCGATGATAAAAGTGACAATGGATAAGTATTCATGCAAAGCTTTCATTTCGAGAATGGTAATCGCACCCATAATGGGATTTTGTATAAATATAGAATCATGAGTAGAGGGATCAAGTTAAAATTCAAATTTGTTCTTACTAACAAGTTTTGAGTAGAAATTAAATAATTTAGTTGTTATATTAACCTAAATTTCATGCTAAATTTTAGTTTTAACTTCAAAAATACTTTGAACATAAATCATTTATTTCCAAATTCAACCTCAACCAAAACTAGTTTTGTTAAATCAAAATTTTCAAACTCGTTACACCCGCTCAAATACTAAATCAATTTATGGGGATAGATGGCGCTGCTTAAAGGCTACGGCACAATATTATTGTCAAGACAAATACTACTTTGTTCCTACTAAAGATACTAGTTAAGAATAAAAGGAATATTAAAAAATGTCATTGATGAATTTTTGTTCTGATTTTTAATGCATCCAAACTTGTTCTAACAAGATCTTCATCTAGTATCCTTAAATCACAGGTAAACAAGAGTATAAGGAATTGAAAAGTAATAACCAATTTGTTCAAGAAACGAATAATAAATGCAATTAATTAGATAATGAAAAATGCTAGATAGGCGAAATTAGTTAACAGGATGATCCGGAAAAGTTGATGCTCATTGTTTCAGCCCAAAACATGTATGGAACGGTGTAAAACCACGGCAGTTTCTAAAGCTGTTCCACTGGATCGTGTCCATAGAAGCTTAGTTCATCAACATATTACGTAACTACTCTCACAAAAAGGGAAATGTCCTCTCAAGCATTATATGTTTGATCTGAACTACAAGTTGAACATATGAGAACATTGTTGAACATGGAAAGAAATGCTTGAACTACAAGTTGAACAAGCTCAAATGTACGGGTCAAATGACTTAAATCATCATATGGAGGGAGAAGAAAAAAAATTGGGAGTGGATGATAAAAACAGTGAACACTCTTGCATCCAACAAGTGGAGAGAAGCAAAGTACTCAATTCTAATAATATACATGATAAAAAGTGCAATCATGAAATAATAACAGCTTGGTCTTTAGATTAATATATATGTATAAGACTAGCAGATGCAAGGAAATGAGAAAACACTACACTCAGCTAAAATTGCATTAATCAGTCAGCGTAAAAACAAGTACAAACTGCTGAATAACAAGTAATTAAATGACCTAAAATGCACCTACAGAGTCCATACATATTCTGGTGCATCTTCCCTTTTTCCAGCTAATGTACGATACAAATACATCTTCTCTACCCTCTGCCCATCTTCCAGACTACAATCTGCTTGTTCATTCTCATTGAAGATCTCCACATTCAACCTTGGCATCTTCTTAGCTAGCAACTTGCAGGCTCCGGCGGTCACTTCACAGGACGACATCCAAAGGGATCGCATTGTTTCATACTTCCCTACGTCCGTCAGAAGTGCCAAGTTGCCAAAAGGGCAATCTCTAATCTCGAGCTTCCGAAGCTTTTTGCATCCGTTCAACACATACAGCATTCCCTTGTCACTCTCCCCAGCAAATGCAATTGACAACATTTCAAGCTGCTCCGCATACATTCCAATGTAGAGGAAAACCTGGTCAGTCAAATGCCCCGAGAGTGATAGGCGCCTTATTCGCCTGCAAGACTGCACAATTGCGCCGAACCCTTCATCAAGTGGTTGCATTGTATCAGGGTCAGGTTTTATGGCATCGAGGATACACAACCTAAAGCGGATAAAATTGGGGCAGTTTTTTGCCACGGTTATGAGGGCAGCATTTGTCATCTGGTGGCAGAAGTAGAGTAATGAGTGAAGCTTACGGCAACCCGATGATATTGCAACCAGCCCTTTTTCGGTTACAGCTGCAGCATTTCCAGTGGGAACAGATGGAAAGACCCTCAATTCTTGCAAATCTCTACATGTCATAGCTACGACGCCAAGTCCTTTGTCTCCAATGCAATCCATTACCTGCACAAATTCTAGAAATTATTCATATTCACCAATACAAGAATAAATAAAAAAGAGAATCAAAGTTTCAAATTTGACATATTTACCCATAAGCGCTGAAGTTTCACACAAAGGCGAAGTAGTTTTATCAGCTCGCTTCCCTGAATGCCTGCTGCATAGCTCAAGTTTAAGGATGTTAAATTCTGGCAAATAGGATATATAGCTGGAAGACACCGAGGAGCAACTTCCAAAAATCCTGACAAACTGGTTATGGACTTGCACTTTACGATGGTATTCTTAAGCTTTGTGTAGGTCTCAGAATCTGGATCATTAACAAATGATCCAATACCCAAATCCACTAGCTGAGGCGCTCGCACCATTATCCTTTGAAGTGCGTCAAGGGGCACTGAACGATTCAATTTTAAACTCTTGAGGTTAGGAGATCTGGCCACAAGTCTCTCAAGAGCTCCCAAACTAACCTCTCCTTTCAGGCAAGCAAAATTAAGAGACACAAGTGATGTACAGCTATCAGGAAAGCAACTTAGCCATTGGCCTTTGTGATCATCAACTTCATTTTCTTGCAGATCCAGCTCCCTAAGACACCTAAATTTCAAATAATGAAAGCATAAGCAATATTGGGAATCAAGAACACATTCTCAACATTGTGTAGATCATTCTCAAACAACAGAATAGGCTTCTTAACACCACTCTTCCTTAACACCACACATAGGATATTTTGGTGGAAGACGCTGTTCACAACAAAAGAAAACCCTCCTAATAATAAATAATGCACAAACTGACGATAATTAATATACTCAAGAATAGATCAATCGAGATCTCAATATACCCTTGAGCATTAGCCTGTCCTTGACATGGTTAAGGTCAAAGCCATTCAACCACTTTGCTCAACAATTCAGCTTCCTTCCTCTAACCAGTGGCCACGGAATATAAGCAAATTATTGACTAACAAATATCCAAAACAAATACTGATAAACTAGATTCCAAAACATAAAACGGCAAGAAAGCATGAAAATTACACATAACAAGACCCACACTAAATGAAAACAAACAAAAAACAAAACCTTGGAAACACTAACACACAAGATTCAAGCCAACAAGTCCCTCTCACCTGCAATTTGCAGCTATAGCAGCAAGGCCATCGGTGGTGAACCCTTCACAGCTAACAAGAACTAAAGACTTGAAGTTGGGAAAAGAACGAGAAAGTAGCTCCAGGCTCTCATCCGAGACCACCATCCTCTTCAACCTAAGTTCCTCCAATCCAACACTTCTATTGGCCATTGCTTCAATCCATGGATACACAAAACCACCCCAACCATAAGGAACCAAACTGAAGTCAGCAAAATGAGGCTTTCCCTTCAAAGTCAAAGACTTAAGACCAGGAAACCTCTGGATCAACCTCTCAGGAGTGATTGAGTAGCAGTTCCCTATGAACACCCTCTGCCTCGTACATCTGTCTATTCTGTACCAGCTTTTGCACACCAAAGACAAAGTGTTCCGGTCACGGTGTGACACAACAAAGTCAAATATGTGCTCTATTACCTCGTCCGGGAAATAATTCATCTTTTTATCTCTTTGCTCTCACTCACTAATCCAAAGACCCCAACTGTCCAGGAAAATTTTCATACTCCGACAAAGGGTAGGGATGGTGAAAATAGAAAGAAAAACACAACCTCAGAAGGCTAAAGCTCCCAAATTTGAAGTTCTACTACAACAAAAGGGTGAATAAAAAACAGATCTTGGCCCAAAAAGGAGTGGGATATCAAGATCTTCAAAATCAAGGATATGATGTGAGGTCCGAGAAATGGCTAGAAAAGATTCAAAGGTAAGAGGGTACTGATAAAAGTTGAAAATTTTACATTTCGGAGGTTGGATCTACTAGCAGAGAAACAAGAAAAACTCAAATTTTTTCAGGAAAATACAAGCAGAGATTAAAAAATAAAATTGGAAAAATGGTGGGGGTGAAAAGAAAATCAAACGAAAAAAATTATGATCTTGCAAATCAAATGATGATGATGACGAAGATAAGGATTTCCAAAAAAAAAAGAAAAAAGAGAGAGAAGAACTAGTACTATCTTCTCAGATCTAAGATTAGTTACATTATACACCACACCACCCAAAAGGGGAAGGGAGAGCTTAGAGTGAGAGAAAGAAGCAAACCCCTTTAGTTGTTCTCTGTCACTCAAATCACATGCCTCGGGTTAAAACAAAACTCAGAGAAAGTGAGAGTGGTAAAGAGAAAAGAAGCAGAAGAACAAGAAGAAGGAGAAGGTGGGTGAAGTGAAACGAAACAAAGAAAGGAAAGCAATTGGGTGAGTGTGGATTTATTTAACCATGGTTGGGTAGTGGTAACCATGATGAGTTGGGAATAAAATGAAAAAAAGGGTAAGCGTCGATTTTGATGATGGGATATTGAGAGAATCTTGACCGTTGAGTGCGTGAACATGCATCTGTCCCTGTCACTGCTTTCCAAGTGAGCCTCCCCTCTCTGCCAAAGTCTTGCACTCTGCTATGTTACCCCTCATAATATATAAATATTTCAATTAAAATTAAAATCAAAGGGAAAATAAAAAAGAGAAAATGGCAACGACTAATTGAAAACGACTGTCTGATTAATGACACCTGCTTTCACGGAAAACTACGAAAATGCCATGCCTACGTTTTTAGATAACTACGTAGATAAGATCGAAGCAACACTCGTCACGGACCTTTAACCGCGCGTGCCCAACACTCTCAGTTTTTGAAACCTCTTTTTAGCTTTTAGGGTGCCTGCGAATGGTGGTGCTGCAGTAAAAACAAAAACGTTTTGATTCCAGAAATTAGCAAAAAAAAAACATCGTCTTTAATTTTAAGAATGGTTAATTAATTCAATTTTAATAAAAAAATTATTTTTAATCTCAATATTAGAATAATTATAAATAATTAATAATAATAAAATTTTATTAGAAAATATATTTATTATATTTTTATAATTTTAATATAATAAATCTATATTTTTTCATAAAAACTTTTTTATATATGAATTTGCTTAAATTTGAGTTAAAATTAAAAAAAATCCTTAAAAATAATATATTCTTTTGAATGATTATCGATTAATTTGACATTTGATTTTTAATTATTTACATCATTTTAATATATAAAATTAAATTAACTAGCTTAATAAGTAAGGATTAAATTAATTAAAAATTTTAATATTAAAATATTTTTATTTTAAAATATAAAAATAAATAATTAGCAATATCAAATTTTAAACTAGTTTAAGATCTATTATTATCAACATTATTGGTGTTTGAAATTGAAATTTCATCTTGTGTTAACATTTAATGCTGATTTTTGTGAGATTAATTCTTAAAATAAAATTATAATTTTAATCAAAAAATAATAGTAACAATACTTATAATACGTATAATGTGAGGTTAAAATGTTTATGGGTCTATTAATTTTTGTATATTTTCAATATTTCAAATTGTATTAGTCATTAATCTAATAATAATATTAATTTATGATTTATTGATTTCATTGATATTTAATTAAAATTAAATTTATAATTATCAAATATATTTTTATATTACATAACATATTTAATAATAAATTAATATAAACTATAAGAAAAATAAATTAAATTTTAAAAAATAAATATTTATATACTTTATAAAATAATACTAATAATAATAATTCATCAATAAATATTATATATGATCTTTTTTATTTTTAAATTAAATATTAAAAAACCAAGAAAAAATTTAATAATTGGTTTAAATCACTTTTTTAGGATAAATTTTTTTAATTTTTTACTTTAATTATTTGAACTAGTAATTTGACCTATTTTTTATTAGATTAATTGACTATTTTTTGAAATAATACACCTTCTCATTTATAAAAAAAAAAGTAAATTTGTAAATTTATTGTGCGTGCACATATGTAATTTATATTTTAAATATATTAATTAAAAATTAATAAATAATTTTAAATGAGAAAATAAATTTTCCTTTACCATATTAAATAAGATTTTATATGTTTTTTCATAAAAATATTGTTCTTGTATAATTTATATTGTTTATGATATTATGTTAAAGAAAATAATAATAAATAAGCAAATAAAATTTTCTTTATCGTATCAAATAAGATTTTATATATTTTTTATAAGAATTTTGTTCACAAGCATTTCATAAAGTGGTTATATTAGGGTACGTTTTAAATTACTGAGTATTTGATGGATTAATAATTTTTAGAGTTTTTAATATGTTTAAATTTATTTTAAATTTGTTGGATTGACTATACTAATTTTTTAACACAAAATATTATAAATTGAAATTTATATACAATATTTATAAGTGTAGCATGCTGAACTTTTTTCAAATAAAAAAAGAAATACATTGAAAAACAATCCATTACTTGTATTTAACTAAGTTTTGTTTGTACTACCATTTTATTGGTTCCAATAATTTTAAAGATTTTAAGTTGAATATAAGCAAGTGTATTATTTACGTGGGTAGAGTATTTCAAATTAACAATTTTATTGATTTTAATTAAAAATATCATTAAAAATACTTAAAAGAAACTATATACTTTATATCATTGATAACACTATTTTATTACAACTTTTTTATTAGTAATTATTTAATCAATACTTTAAAATCACCCTTGTTATTGTTAAACAATACAAACTTGAGCGTATTTTAATAAAGCTAAAATAAATAAATACTAAAAGATTTATTTTTTAAATTTGATAAATACTATATTTATTAATAGTATATGCTTTAAATGATTGGGAAATTCAGTTAAGAAAAAAATAAGAAAAGAAATGATATATTGAAATGACAAAATCTAAGAGTTACTTTTTGGGTGGTTTTTACATGAATGTCATTGCCAAGTAGTATTAAATGAGAATATTAATAACGAGTTACGAATCATAAAGATGTTAACCCTGCACTACCAACGTACACATGATTTCCTGTTTTGTGTTTTAACCTTTTGGGTCCTTTGATGATTCGGTGCGTTATGGTGCACTGTACGCCTCGTAACAGGTCCACGTAATTGGTTACATCACTGCGTTGATCACATCAGTCCAAGTCCATGATAGGGACCGTACAGACCACCCCAGGAGATAGAGAGAGGTGATTTTGTGTTTGTGATCTGAGAATAGTGATTGGATAAGGCATCAGAAACAATAGGGTATGGAATAATACAGCAATCATAGCGGTGAAGTGCCAAAATATGGGAATGCTTGAAGGTGAGGTTTGGTTTTGAGGGTGTGTTTGTGATTGTTTCTCGAGAAAAAAAAAGAGAAAAGAAAAGAAAAGAAATGGGTCTCAGAGAATATTTCTTTACTCCATGATTTTCTATGAACGATGATTACTTGTTCCTTGAGGAAGAAATTATTGTCATTACTGATTGAATATAGATTTGTTGTTTGTGATGTGAGGAAGCACATGTGCAAATGCAATTGTACAATTCTTGTTGACTTGTTTATTTGTGTTAAATCAATTTGAAGCGACTGTGACTACTCAAAAATTGTTGGGTCTTTGAGCAATTTGGGTTGTGTCCATGAGTTGTTCCCATTTGCTTTCTAGTATTTGTTGTGTAAAGGGTTGTTTTCATTTAAAATATGGAAAGAAAAAACAATTGCAGGAGGAGTGAGACATGGTCTTGGTTCAAGATATTTTTAAATATATTAATTATTAAATTGTTATACACTTTTATTTGCTGAGATTAATATTAATAAAATACTTATTAAAGAAATATTTTATTATTTTAACAGGACCTTTTGTTATATTGAATGTGTTCCAACAATATCTTCATTTTCAGTAAAAGTTTGGTTTTTATGGCTTTTCGCTTACTTTAAAAATGAAAATATGATATGACAATTAAAGTTTAAATTAAATAAATCTGAAGTAATATGTCACATTAGAGAAAGAAAACATTGTATCTTCCAACAATTAAAATGACAGTTATGCATTCATAGGTCAGAAGTCGAATGATGGGTGGGATGTTAATTTAATAACTCAATAATATTAGCACAAATTTGATTTTCTAACTTTGATGATATTTAAATTTAAATCAATAAATACGTAACTTAACCTTTAAAAGTATGTCAGTTAGAAATTAAATTTGAAATATTTATTTTTTAAATTAATTTTTATTATAGTTTTAAAATATAAATTATAATGAAATTAAAATAAATATTTTTTTTTACAAATTTAAAGACTATTAATATTTTAAAATTTAGAAACTGAAAATTTAAACTTTAAGTCATAAAGTTAGTTATTACTGGAAATAATATAATTATATTTTTTTTAAAAATTATTAATTATTATTTTATTTTATTATTCTAATTTTATTATTATTATTGTTATTATCATATTCAGTTATATGTAACGTTTACATGAGTTATTATAGCGATTAAAAGATTTTAAATTTTTTGAGGAAATCGCACGAAAGATGTATAAACTTTTTATTATATTTATTTCTCTAGGTTATGAGTTGAGTAAAGTTTGCTAGTTCTTAAGAGCCTTGTACATTCAGACAAGAAGAGTCTATTGTATCCTAAAGGATTTTCGACTATACTGAAATAATCCTTAAGAATAGTATTCTACACGCCTCAGACTAAATTATTGATTAGTTACTTCGGGTCATTTTGACAACAATCTTAAGGATTATGGCTGAATCAATAAATAATGAAAACTCCATCAACAATGCTGCAAATAATCATGAAAACGGTATCAACATAGATCCACTTTCGCGCCCCCCTTCCCATTCCTCATTTTTCATAAATCTCTCTCTGTCTCTCGCCTCTCTCTGTCTCTCTCTCAAAGAGCTTCAGTTTTTTTGCCTTTGCGAGTGATTGGAGTATCCATTTGAAAGATAATTTGCATCATTGTGTTCCTGGTACGATACTCTAACTTTTAATCGATTTAGTTTTTTTATTTTTGATGTATTTTAGAGACTTAAAATTTCTAAGATAGAGTTGTAGGATTAGAGATTGTATGACTGGCATGGGGGAAGGGTGTAGAGGTCCTTCTCTGAACCTGATTATTGTGTGCTGTTGGATTGTTTGTGTTTGTGGGTTTGTGGAATATACATGTTATGGAGTTATAAGGGGATGTACTCTAGAATGGTTTAGGATTGTAATGTGTATGTTTTTGATGCATTGATTAATAGATTATTATATAATATATAGATTATGTGTAAAGAAAATTTAGATTTTTGTATTAAGTACGTGTAAACAAATATAGGAAAATATTCATATATTAGGGGAGATTATGTCAAAATTTACATTAGAAATTTATTTTATTAAGTGTAAACAAATATAAG